TGAGTTTCTAGGCAGTTGTGTGTTGTATGTTTATATGTACGTTAAGATTTATCTCTAAGTTCTTCTTTCTCTCTCTCTCTCTCTCTCTCTCTCTTTCTCTCTCGAGCACACACACTCTCATACACAGATGCCTCTCTCCCTCATATACGTTCAAACGATATACTTTCGCCCATTACACGAACGATTGATTTTGGCCTCTCGTTTCAATGCTAAATCGGTTCAGAAAAAGAAGGTTCATCTACGCATGCGTGATGAATCGATCGTTTCACTACTCATTAGATTCATAGGAAATGAACAGCATGATTTCAATTCGATATTTGATGAACTTAATTCGAGAGAAAAAAAAAAAAAAGAAATAAATAAAACGCGTATTGATATCGATTCAAAGGAAAGGAAATTGTGATCAAATTTTTAATATCGTAGCTAATACTATACGTTATCCAAAGTGAAATTAAATTGTTGAGATTGACTATCTTCAATTTTTCTAACTTCCTCGAGAAATATCGAATTGATTCAATTCGTGCTACGTTTTCCTTGATTATTACGATTTACTTTAATCATATTTCTCATTCTTCCATCTCGTATCACCCACACGTATCAGCATGCACCCTCGAAATGATTATCTAGAGTTTCCTCCCCCACGAGTCGATTCGAAATTCATATTTTCGGCATCTCATATAGCTTCGAGACTTATATTTCCGGCGATATTTTTTTTTTTTTTTTTATCTTTTTTTTCGAATGATTTCGTTTTTTCCCTTCCTTCCTTCTTCGTCCGCTATTTTTTTTTTTTCTGTTTATACAAAGAATACACCGTTGCGGCTATACGAAACTAGAACGGTATTATTTTTGTCTACACGTGAATAATTCCATGAGTCGTGTGGTTTGTAACGCTATCGTAAACACAAGAGTGAGTCTTGTTTCCATTTCCATGTCCCGATCAATGGTATTGAGCAATGTACTGACATCGAATCGATCGTTTGAGAGATATATCTTTGTCCTCTTTCTTCTCTCTCTTTTTTTTTTTTATAAAAAAAAATTAGAATAATTAAAAAATATCAAAGATTATATTATTTAAGTAAGAATAAATCGATTTTAATCACCTTGATATGTTTTATCAAGATCAACATTATGAGTAATCTTATTCATATAACATATAATTGTTGGTCAATTTTAATTTAGAGGAAATAATAACAATACAAATTTTAAATCATATTTCTAAAATTTAAGTATACTCTTTACTACAAATTACTTTTTTATCATTCAAGAAACTCGTTAATATTAATATTTAAAATTAATATTTTTAAAAATAAAATCTATCTTTTAATTCGAATAAATTAAAATAGAATTATATCATAATTAAAATTTTCTCTATTATGAAATTATTATCTGATATTTGATATTTGATTGAAATTCAAATCTAATATCAATCAATTAACAATATCCGATAGTTTGAATAATTTCGAAAATATTAATTGCCAATTGTTCTAGATTCTAGTCGAAATTAATCGATCAAATTACGAAATTGCTAATCTTGTTAATAATCTGTAATATCACGTATATATATATTTCCCAACCAATCGATCCAATCAATATATTAACGTGCTAGACTTACTCTTTACGAATTAGAAATCGTAAATATCGTCCTATTGGTCTTTTACACTACTTAATCTTTTTTCACTACGTGGCGGTTAATCAGTGTTATTGCTGCTAAAAGTTCATTCAACAGGATCCTGCTGCCTCGCTAAAATGTATTATTTTATCGTAGACAATAAATTATGCTCGCCGATCTCTCCATCCTTTGTCAACGTCGAGGAAAACGCAAGCGTACGTATTTTTTTTTTTTTTCTTCTTTTTTTACTTTTACGAGGAAAAAAAAAGCTTCCACTAACGACCTGTATACACCTCTCGTGTCGATCAAATTAACGAATATTCGTTATCACGTGGATGCAATAGACACATCAATAGACATTTGATATAACCCGATATTTCTCCCGATATTCTTTTACTTACTTCACGAGAGATTAAAAAAAAAAAAAAAAGTTTGACCACCACGAATCTTCGTTAATCCTCTGTCCACGATCCCCTAACAATCCTCTGTCGAAGGTTCGTACAGAATGATGGTGCGAGTCGTCGAAGGCGCCTTGGTTTCTTTTATATATATATATAATATATGTATATAATATATATGTATAGTCGTTAACAATGTTAATTACAGGTACCTAAAAATTTCTCGCACGCGTTCTCCACGTCGGAAAAAAGTAAGAAAAGTCGAAATGTTCGTTACAAGCTAGGACAGTCTACGCTAGTTTTCGGTATCATCATTCTTCTTCTTATTCGCTGCGCGTTTTCCTTCCATTATTCTCTCTCTCTCTCTTTTTTTTTCTTCTTCTTTTTCAATCTTTTGATCAATCAACTCTCTCTCTCTCTCTCTCTCTCTTTCTCTCATCTCGCTATCTATTCCGTGATATCGTTACAAAGTCGATAATGGAAAAATGTCGTTTACATAAAAAGAAAGACGCTTGCGAGAATTGATCTCTTCGTCGAGTAAACCGCTAGGGAAATCGGTGTAATATTTGATGTATGCGAGCACACGACGCAATATTATTTACAATGTCTTCGAGATAATAGTAATTGATCCGATATTTATATCCCACAACTCGTTTCCTTGTGCAATTATTAGATTCTTTGCAATTTGTGTATATATATATGTATATATATATATATATATATATATATACGTTCAGATTTTTTTTCACTTCTTTCCTTCTTGTTTTCTCGTTGATTGTTCGCTACACCGTTTCGTAGATCTTGAATGATTTTAGGACAATGTTCGAGAGCGATTGGCAAACCGGATGAAATTTTCTTTTTCCCTCTTTTGTTCTTTTCAAGTATCCATCCATTCGATCATCTAATTTCAGTTACATCCCACAAAGAGATTTCCCATTTTCTAGATATGTGGAAGTACGTTTCCTACGTTCCCTCACATTCCCACAGTTCTTTATTTTTACGATTTTACCGACTAAAAATTGTTTATTGCTACGTCTCGACTACTATATCGAAAAGGGAATTTGGCAATTATAGTTTCACAGTGTGTCGTAATGGTTCAGTACAAAGTGGCTTGGCAGTGTTTAATATTGGTGAGCGTAATAAACAGATCTGCCAATTTATCCGGATCCTTGATGCTTTATCTAATTGAGACGATATTCGAATATCCAAATTTGATCGAATGTTTAAAATTATATTGTTTATTGTTATTATAGTATTACTAATATTTGATAAAAAGTATTGTTTAGAAATTTTCCCAAATATAATAATGTGATGAGAAAGAATTTAACAGATATTGAATAAGAAAAAGAAATTTATTTTGGATATTCTTGAAAATTATATTTAACTTTTTTACTAAAAAAAAAAAATATTTGACAAGAAGGCAATTAATACTCTTTCTCAAATATTTTATAAAAAGTTAAGTTATAAATTTTTATGATAACACGAAAATGCATTTATAATATGTAAATTTATCTAAATAAAAATATATAAATGAAAATAGTTTAGCTTACTTTTTCTATTTTCCTATTTTTAAAAAAAAAAGGAATTTTTAAAAATCTTCAATTATTAAGCTAATAAGAAAATAAATTTGATATGACTATCCTATCATGTAACTAACAACATCATCAAATCTACTATTTTCCAAAAATATTTTCATATTGATATTAAAGGATATAATAAGTTTAATTATTGAATTATTGTTGAGTTTTCTCATATATAAAATATCAATTCTATTTGTACATTATTCGATAAAATTAATTGGATATTCGAATATCAAAAATATCCGGATACTCGCAGTCCTAATAAGGTGTTCCTTTTACAAATGAATAAGCAGTGGCGTGAAATAATAGCGTCATGCATGTGTAATAGAAGCCTCGTTATAATAAACGCTATAAGAACAGTATTCAAGGATCTCAGTCGAAGGATTGGAAACATTCAATAAGTGACGAACAAGTCTTTCATTTTAATGGTCTTTGGCAACGAGCTCTATACGACAAAATTCTCTCTGCCATTTGTAAATATAGAAACTCTAAAAAGCTTGAAACAATCGAATATACGCAAATATTAGTTTCTGTGATTCTCTGGTTCGAAAAATTTCTAGTTAAATATTATAAAAGTTTCATCATCTCGTCGATTTTTTTTTTCTAGTTCTTCGCATCTTCCCTTTTTTTTTTTTTTTTCTTCTTCTTATTTTCCATCGTTTAATTCCTTGGTCTTAAGCGCACTTGTTAAATTGATATTACTTTAGAAGCAAGCATTCAAACGATCGTTATATTTTTGTAAGATTGCATTCTAGATATAATTATCTTCGCCAATTTCATTGATCTTAAAATTTTCTTCTACAAGACAAATTTTTAAAGTTCGAGTGTTAAATTTATCAAAAGAAAAAAAGTATTTAATAAGAAAATAAGAAAAAATTTTTTAATCACTTGATATTTTAATTATTCCCCTTCAAGGAAATTTAATAATTCATTAAGTTAGAAAATAAAATTCATCGATACGATAAACAATATAACGTAAAATTTATCAATGTATCATTTGATCGTTGAATAGTGATCAACGATAGATCTTTTTCTAATCGTCATTTGAATGCATACCACTTATATAGTATCCATCGCTTCAGATCTTATATAATTATTCCAAGGTAGAAGTATCGAAAAACATTTATTGAAATTCTGTCAGGAGAATATTCCTTCCTTTCCCCTTTTACGAACATTCTCGAAATAAATGCTTTTTCCAGCAAGCATTCTTGGCCGCCTCGATTGTCCGCATCATTATAAGTTATTCATTCAGGAACGCTTTTTCTTCTTACGAATTAGAATTCGTTCTATTCATTTCTTCAGAACAAGTTCACATTTCCATACAGACGAATACATGATTAATTAATAAAAGTCTCTGCTTCGATTATCATTTATGTCCCCACAAACTATAATCATAAAATATTTCTTCTATGATATATTCAAATAAATTAAAACAGACTCAGTTTCTCGATCAAAAAACATTTTGATCAAGAAATATCAAGCTGATTTCTATATAAACGCAATTAATAATAAGGAAAAAATGAAAGTTAAAAAAAAAAGATTCTTAATAATTCTGTGAGAACATGGACGGACGTATCCAGCTATTGAAATAGCAGCAAACAAATGGTTAATATGTTGTTGCAAATATATATATATTACACAGAGGTGAATTGGCTAACAAAGTTCTACAGCTTCTGAAAAATGATCAGAAATGTGAAATCGCATAATTTATGAACGGAATGGGAGCGGAACGTCGGCGAGAAAATTGAACTTGCTCTGAAGATGATCGTTCGGCACATGCCCTCGATCTTATCAGTTTTCAAGGATGGATCGTGTACGTTCTTTCTCAATTTTTCATCCTTCATAAGGCGCGATCGAGATCCCCAGGAAAACTCGAAAAGATGTTATCAGGGGGGGAGGGGTGAGGCGATCCGATCCAATTCCCTCACGTTTACAGGCTCCTATAGTTCCACGAGACGTGTCGAATCTTCGGCGATCGTACAAAATCGAGGAATCCTGATGCGAGCGTTCTCAAAGAAGATCAAGACGCTCCGTAGACGCAGGCAGAGTTGTCCGGCGGACTGATCTTCTCCTCTGGCAACACTGCCGCTCTGTGCCACTCGTCTCGTACCTGAAATTTATTTTTAATAAGTTGATACGAATAGTAACATGGCTAAGAAATAGTGATTTTATTTATTTTAATACATTTCGTACGAAAATAATTTTTCTTGGGCTGGTAGAATTATAATTTGCCTTTCTTTTGAATAATTGGAACGAATGGAACGGTGTTGGTGATTCCAAACTTTTAATATTGGCTGGGAATTTTAGAAAAAAAGAAAATAAAAACATCCGGTTTTTTGTATGCTACACGATAAATCCAACAAATTATTTGATTTATAATGGATAAGTATAATCATTTATTAACATATAATTAAATCAGAATTCCATTTGCCTTCAAAGATAGCTAGAAAAATATTGATTTTAAATGAATAGAAAATTTCTACTTGGAGAACAGTTATAAAGTTTCGTACCTATTTGACCAATGTTCCATTGGAAGTACTTTTCTCCATCGTGTTCGAATCCCCACTCTACTTAAAACTTACTACTCCTTTTTCTTGCGAAATATACGTAATAAAGATTCTCCTCAACTCTTATTAAAATGAACGTATTAAACCGACTTACAAAAAAATTTCCAATTTATTACCTCCTTCACCTCCTTAAATTCAATCAATTTAAAAAAAGAAAGAAAAAAAAAATATTCAACTCACCTGCTCGACCTTGGCGAACACCCTCAGCAAATTGAGGCCAGCCAACTTCTTGATATCGTCCTCGGTCCACGTCGGGTCCTCGAGCAGTGTTGCCAACAACTGAGGATACCTCGAAACGTCCTCCAACCCGGTAGGAGTGCTGGAAAAGCGCGCATCGATAATCCACCAATTCCAGCACTTTCGATTTCCAACGATTCTCGTGCCGTTCAGAGAACAGAAAGAGAGAGAGAGAGAGAGTTTCCACGACAATAAAACTAAATTCGTCCCTGGGTATCAATGGGAGCAATTTTATAATTTATACAAGTGTCGCCATTGTACACCGTGTGCACCTGAACGTGGAACACGGCATCCATTAGATTGTAATTGCTTCGTCGAGGTGTTGAGCATCGATAATGATTATTCTCTGAACAGCGCGTTGCGATACTCGAAAAGATAATTACAAATTTATCCCGTCGAAGCCAGCTCCTATTCCAACGTGATCGATCCCCGCCACCTTTCGAATGTGATTGATGTGCGCTGAAACAGCATGGATAACACGCGCCCTAATATTAACCTCTGACGTGACAAATTTAAAATGTTGATTTTATTATTTTGCAACACGCGCTTTAATGCATTCGCGCTGAATAAAGCCCCCCTCGTATTTGACTCGCGTTTAAATCGCGTTCAAATCAATTTTGAACATCGAAGAAACGAATCGATCAGCGCGAATGCGAAATGTGTTTTTTTATATATCCAGAAGTTAATGACGCTGGATTTATATATGTGTTATTTTATTCGGCATTTCGATATGGGAAAAGAGAGATATAAATTACCAAGTTTAATGGAAAATATGGGTATATTAAAATTGAATATGTGTATAGGTGGCTAATTTATATCGCGTTGAGGGGATGAGTGGAAATTTTGCAGAATTGAAATAAATTCGATGTAATGTAAAAATTTAGAAAATTGTGAAATATTTATATTTGTATTTGATTTTTATTTATCGTGGATTTTATTTGATTGTCAAACTTGTTATCTATTTTCTTTTTTTTTTTAATTATTTTAATAAGAGAGAATTTTAAATTTTAGCCACGAAAAATAGTTTTTAATGAATTAAACGAATTATATGTATCTCTTAAATAAATTATAATTTTAGATACATTATAATTTTATTGTATATATATGAATATATTCAAAGATAGTTGGTTATATCGTCGTATGCATATAATGAGTAAAAATGAAATTACTTAAACGAATTTTTATTCTAACTTGAAATTAATTCTAATTAACTTTTAATTATCTCGGTAGTTTTGTGTAATGAGATTTTAAATTGAAATTCTTTTTTCAATAGAATTCCAAGTCAATTCCTTTATTTAGATAATAGAATTTTAAAAGTTTATCGGTCAATTTTAATTCTTCACAACTTTTTACTTCTGATTTTAAACTTTTAAATCTCAATGTAATTTTTAATACAATTATACTAATTTAACACTTTTTAATCAGAATAACGATACTACTAAATTTGATAGATTTTTATTGATAAATATTCGATTCAATAGAAACTTGGAAATTAGAATATTACAAATACTTTTAATAATTTTATCCTATTTTGTGAAATGAATAATGAATGAAAAAAAAAAAATGAAAAATTTCAAAACTAATAATCGTAAGGCATTTTCCAGAAACGATCACAGCTTTTTTAGTAAGATAGAAATAATATATCGATGTTTTACGTACCAATAACGTCCTTTATAGTGGCTGTACTGTTGCACGTTATGAAGTATGTATAAAATGGAACCATTGCCACACCGCCATTTTTAGCCTGTGAACAGATGCATTAACCTCAGACATGCCAAGATTGTACCGGCCCTGAATATTATTCGCGCGAAGAAAAGCGATTGTAAAATTGTGTCGAGTAGAATAAAGCGGGTATTTCATTTCCTGTATAGAAGGAAATGTATAGAAGCATTGAATTTGCGGTTCTATTGTGCCCTCAAAAAATTCTTCTCGTTTCTCTGCGTTACATAGGCTACTTCGAAATTATAGAGATAAAAAATTTAATTAACTACTGAAGTTTAATAAAAGAAATCGATGAAAAGATTTCCCTTTTCGTAATAAATATTTCCCCTTCTTGTAATATAGTAGTAATTATAGAAGTTTTTTTTGTGAAAGATCATATTGTTCGAAATTATATTCACTTTTTTCCTTTTTTGAAGTATTGTGAAGTGAATGTTTAATATTCAAGTGTCGATAATTGATAGAGTGATGTTTGATAGTTTGATAGAGTGATGAGTCAGTGCACATCTATATTTCTAGTTTTTTTTTTTTATATTTTTTATCGCTTAAGATAAATAAGACAAGTCTTCGAGAATATTATCAAATTTTTACCGATAATCTTCCACTTGAAAACTTTTTGATTATCAGTTTAATTATGCATCTTAAAGATTATTTTTTTTCTTGAATAAATTTATATCATCTTAATATATTATATGATTTGTATTTCACTTTAAATAAATGAGCTATAAATAGAGAAAAGAGAAGAATAATAACGAATATTATTTTACATTTACCAATATAAATACAATTTTTACGTTAAAATATTTACCCGTGCATTCGTAATGTAAAAGCATCCCCTTTTCTAATTATTTACCGCCTTTTAAATTTTTTAACAACGCTTCGTTTTATTTAATATCATCGTTTTGAGAAATTGTCATTACGTTCGTGAACATAATACCTCCGGATAATTTGAATATCAGATTTACGCGGGAAATTTATATTCTGTTGGAAAAGATTTCACGGAAATTAATGATTTATGATTTCCCTCTACTTTCATATTAAAATGTTTCCTAGAAATGATTTGTACAGAAAATACCGGTCGAAAAAATAAATGTTAAGATTAGAGGAAGACTTTTACACGCTTCAAGGAACACAAGTTATTTTTCTTTTTTTTACATTCAGGATCGTACGTCATAATTATTTCTGAACGTGAATTTAAATAAACTGTTAGTCCTTAATTATAATCGTTAAATTATGCTTCCCAAAATGATGCAGCAAGAGCTTATCTTTTCTATTCTAATGTCTTCGCTATTCAGAAAAAAAGGATATCTCTATGAAATACGGCTGCATATTTTACACCGAGATCATAAAGTCAAGAAGGAAACTACACAGGTTATTTCGAGCTTAGATATGACGAGGATGAAAATCACACGATAGATTTCACAGAAAAATTCGTGATTTTTGTAATTTTCCATGTTGGAAAATTTTTCCAAATTTGGATATAATGAAAAACCATCGATGGCTCCTCGAAAAATTTACAATATTCTTATCAAACTTAGGTTGATTTCGAATTCGAATTTAAAACCTCTGATTCAATTTTCATTTGTATTGTGCGTGTCTCTTAAATAAAATATCACGCGTCACGATTCAATCGAGAAATATTCAAACTCATAAATTTAAAAAAATTTTCAAATTTAAACAAACAAACAGTGATTAAAAAGTATTTGTCTACAAGTCTACAAGTATTTTTACATTTACACAACAACGGCAGATTTTTCCACTTTAATTCGTGCATTTTACTCGTCCATTCCATTGTTCAAGCGATATTAAAAAAGTTACCATTCGAGACAGCATACTTTCTCAAATCGCATGCGCGACTGGAAAATGTACATTGAAATTCGATGAGGTTGTTCAAATCTGAGGCGTATTTGTTGCTTTCCATATTGATTTTGTCCAGGTTGCTTTTTCGAAAGACAAGCAAGAAACGAGAACGATTCTGCCATCAGAATCATCTGTCTCCACTCACTGTTTTTATATTTGTCTCTTTTACGAGGTTAGCAAAGTTCTTCCTCCTCTCCTTCCTTTGTCATGATTTGCCGCCATTGTAAGTATATTTTTGTTTTATGAAAATTTTACTTATCATCCAATATTTAACAACGTAGTTTTTAATTTCTCAACCCCTTTTTTTGATCATAATATTAATATTAATTTTATACAATGATGCATTATGGAATTTTGAATATTTAAAATTGGAAATCAATAGCAATGTTCGAAGATTCTTAAATAAAGAATTTAATTCTTTTGCCGAAGAATTCTTGTTAAATAATGAATCTTTGAATTTGAATTGTAAATCATAAGTTAGAGATTTCTAAACTTTGAAAGTATTAGGGAATTAAATAATATTATTTTCACGCTGCTATCAAAAAGTAAATGATCTAACACTCGATATTCTGTGAGAAGGAGTGACAGATTTTCAAGTCACGTAAAATGTCATTCTTTTAAAAGACGTGGACTTATTCCCAGGCTCTGGCTCTGAACTACAAATATGCTTTCTTGGACAGATCTTGAAATGTTCGCCAATAAAATTCCAAGGAATCGTAAAGTTATCCCGGAGAAATGCAATTCCGCTTCCACGGGGGACGGTATATACTGCGTTAAAATTTTAATATCGCCAACTGCTGTAAATCATATTTCCCTCTCACCAGGATTTTCCAACGATTGATTCGGAATCCCATGAAACATTTAATATCCACGACGTGTCCGGACACCGTTTGAAAAATCTATCCGGTTTTTCGATGGAAAAATTTTTGTTCCCAATTTTTTAAACGACGCGTGGAAAACACGATGGAGATGTTTCTTGCATTACAATATCGTAAAGGATTAAAGAATTCTCTTTAGTTCGAGTTTTAACGATCGTTTCGTTAGAAATTGATTTAATATTCGTCTCATCTATTTCGAGTTATCTTCCACTATTCAATTTTAAGTCTATGGAAATATCAATGTTTAGATGAGAAGTTACGATTTGTAAGAAATTGGTTTAATTGCAAGATTGAAAAATTCTTGAAAATTCTCTCATCAATGTAAATTTATAATTGTCGATATATTTATATTGAGAATACTTTGTTATATATATTTCTTTTTATATTAATGCGACTGATGACGACGAATCAATCCATCTATCGGGCTTAAACGTCCTAGAACGAATATTTTGTATGAACAAATCTAATAATATCAGAATAATCAGAATTTATGCGTATCAGATTTGCGTTATTCGCGTATATTAAGATTAGTATCTATCGTGATAAATTATACAAAGGCATCGAACAGAATTCCCAATTAATTTGCATAATGGAGAGTTCTACGGTACAATACATCCTAATTAGAACGAAAGAGCAATATGGTAGAATCGGTGAGAAAGGAATAGGGAAAACTAATTTCGTCCATTTATTTACATCGACCTCTATATTTCCTCTTCGACTTTATTTCGATATTCTCCATCGTTCGACTCGATGTCAGATTATTAAGTTAATGAGAAATATAATAATAAAAAAAAAAGATTAATGTAATTTGAATAAAAAAAAATAGAATATATAAAGAATAATAGAGTGGGTATAAAAATTATTCCCAACAATAAATAATTTTAACAAAAGCGTTGTAAAAATCTCGTTTATCTCGATAAAATTTCAATAAATAATAATCTCGAAAAATTAGAAATTGCGATAAACCGTTAAAATGTTAATAAATATAAAACAAAAATGGGAAAATTTTGCAATCATCTTTCGATTTTTCTAAAATGTGTGTAAAAAAAAATGACAAAAATTTGTTTAAAATATCTCGTGGATGCGAAATGCACGCACCATTTATAATTACGAAATACGATCTAGCTTACCCTGAAGCAAAAAAAAATTAATTAACGTAGTGATTTTTATCATCAAAAAGTTTTGAAAATAAAATAAAATTTAAACGTCAGAGAATCCATTCCCCACTTTCTAAATTTACCTTAGACTCCGTTACGTTAGATTACATGCAGTCTAATTGTAATCGAATTACCGAATTACTAGAATTCATTGCACTTTCTTTTCGATTATTTATCCGCATTGGATTCGCGATAAAAATCTGAAGAAGGAGATAAAGCAAGGGGATCGAGGATCTTTATCGGTTAATGGAAAATGGCCGGAGTCTTTGGCGCAATGGGTGTATCCAGTTTTATCGGATTTCTTTTTTATCTTCGCCCTCCATCGAAAATTACTGAATGTGCCAATCGAGAAGAGACAATGGCCCGCTGTTTCTAGTCGATACCTGACCCGACTTAAACTATGAGGTAGCCAACGTTAATTGGGACAGCAGTGTGGCACGGCTAATAACATGTTACCAGACAGGCCATCGTTCGCCCTCTGATTGGTGTAACTCATCCCCTTGTTGCTTCATCATGATCGAGCTTGGTATTGATTGCAACGGCGAGACAAATAAGAAACACCTTGATTCGATCTCATTTAATAAAGAAACAAAAATCCGTTGGGATTTTAATCAAGGCGATCGAATCATTCAGATATTTCTCGTTATTCGCTTTGTTTCGATTAGAAATATTTTAATATTTAATATAGTTATCGAAACGTTTCTACGTGTTATACATTTTTATATACATTCGTCGTATAAAAAATAATTATTGGGATTTTAATAATCAAGTTAATCGAGGTTATATATTTATAATAGATAAGAATATAAAATTTATATCAGAAATCAGATTATCCTTTCAATCTTTTGTTCTTTGACTATGATATATTTATATTTAAGATAAATTTTGATTGAAATAAATCGAAAATAAATTTACAAATTTTAATATTCACGAAATTAATAACAATATCGAATAGAATATAGACAAAGAAAACGTTTGAAATTGTTGAAGATTTTTACAATTTTTCAATATATTCTACAACTGATATTTATTAATTTTGATCTTCAATAATTTTGCTATTCGTTGAAAAGAAAATCAACGAAGCACGACGACTCGAAACCAGAGCTTCTGGGATATAATTTATCTTTGTTATGCGGATCTTAGCATACGATTATTGGATTCATAAGTGATTTCGAATTAACGGCGAAACATTGGGTAAACTGAGTGATCAAGTCCGGCAAAGCTCGATTAAAATTTAATCCTATCCGTGCCCTGCGCTTGCCAATCACTGACGCTGAAATGACAATTACCTTGCATCGATGCTTCGCTCTAATCTGTGGGATTAAATTTGAGACGAGGACAATGCCTTAAATACCATTTAACCACACGTTCGTGAACTTAGCCCGAACGATTATTAATTTCCATTCGTGCGAGGCTAGTAATTAACAATGGCCTCAAATGCGCAAGTAGGTCTCCAACAATTCGTAACTTCGAAATCATTATTCTATCTCCAATAATTTAAGGAGATGCCAGATCAGAATTTTGCTAGCCTCGATTATTCTTTTTGAAATCTAATGTCGATTAAGCAGATTAAACGATTCAATTTTCCTCCGATATTTCTCCACAAATATTCCTAAATTTTCTTTAAAAATTCTGTTTCTTTAAAAAACTGTCTAATCTTTTCGAGATAAATTGTTTAAATCACAAAAAGGTAGATAACTGTTTCTCCAATTTTATATACTTCTTACTTATTTATTCGTTTATATTTCAATAACTGGGATGGTCAACGACGCTTCCAAAAATTCTAATCCACTGATTTACACCTTGGACTTTTTGGCACAGGTAGAAACCGGAAGAAAGGCTCGATTAATGATAGATAAATATTCGACCAATTGTTTCGCCCAATGAGGGAGCTTACGGTATTTTTACCGTTTTAAAAACAGATTGTACGTTCTCATTGATCGACCACAGCCATAAATCAACCGCCTATATCCTCTTTGCAACCCGACAATTTAATCCAACAACAGGATATCCTCTGCAGAACTATTTTTTCGCGGCCTCATTGACCCACCTCGTATATTATTTTATACGAGTGCAACTTTTTCCCTCCAACCTCGAAATTCCTCGTTGCTCCCTCGAATGTACATCCTCCTGGTCGTTTCGAACTCGTTTCGAATTTTCCTCGTTTTTTTTTTCACCCACCCCCTCTCTCTCCCTCTCGATTTCGTTTGTCCACGAATCCAACACGTCCTTCTCTCCACGTTTCATCCTCGTACTGATCGATGTATCAAATGAATGAATTTTTATTTTTTTTTTTTTCCAAGAAACAGGATTGGAAGGGTAACGCGTTTTTCATCAAATCGAAAATTTGAACCGAATCTGAACTTTTCGAAAACTTTTCGTACGTTTGCTCATCTACGATCAAATAATCGTCTTCTATGTTGATCAAAACGTAGCAAATTGATCGAGAAGGATGATAATATTCGCACACGTGTTTGTATAGTAAAATGAAGTATGAATCAATGTTTGGTTAGTTAATACGTTATTACTTATTATTATTTTATGTTGGAGTTCGAAGTAGTATTCGAAGTTATGAAGAAAGAAAAGATGTTATTTTGTATCACAGCATTCCTTTGATCGCAATGGATTTATGAATTTTGTATTTTAATTAATGAAGAGGGTATAAAATATATATATAAAATATATATAAAATATATAAAATACGTCACAATTAATTTCTTATAATAATTGAAAGACGCAAGAGATAAATTTTGATGATAAATTAATAATCGATTGAAAAGACTTTTTTTATTTTTATATTTTTATTTTAAATTATCTTTCATTGAACGATGAAATATCCACATCAAATATCGTAGTCATATCAAACTTGATCGATCGATCTATAATTATTGAAACATTCTATCTACGATTCCACGTTTATATAATGTCCAGTATCGTTCTATGCATCGTTCGTGTGCATCGTACGTGGAATATTGAAAAAAATTCACTTCATTGATCGTATTAAATCTGCGTCCGTGTTTCGAATCCACTTTATACAAAATTTTTACTCGACATTAAACGCAAACGAACTTTTGGTATATTGTCGAAAAGGGATTAAACTCGACTCGCTGTTCCACTAACTTTGAATGTAGCAGTCGGAAAACTGCAACTAAAACGTTAAAATTTATCGACCGACCCAAAAAGCAACGTCGGTAGGTTGTGGGTTAAGCATGGATTACATCATAAATGCTCACTAACAATTTTATCTGCTACGGTATTTACGCTCAAAGTAAATTATTTTCTCCCGGTTTTTTTTTTGTTCGCGAAGATTATCATTTTGGGCGGAAATTGCATACGAAATTTTTAACAATTATTACTGCCTGGAAAATAATACGTGAAAAGTTAAGGGTATCGGTTTACTCTTTGGAAAAATATTAGTTAATATCACGGAATTTTTGAAAATTACATACCTACGATTATAAAACAAATTTAATCTTCTAAAATAAATGGTCAAATCCTTTGTGGAAAATTTCAAACATTTTTCTTTTCAATTTATGGTTGCTTTAACGAAAAGAAGATATTTTTATATCTATATTATGTGATAATGATAAAAAGTAACTATAGAATTTCTTTTCCTAGAACTTTTCCTAGAAAGAATTTTTTTGATTAGTAGTGTGATAAATTTTTAACCTAAAAAATATTCCAAATAATAAAATTATAATTTTTCTTCTTAATTTCTATAGAAATCTTGATCTCAAATTTTTTTATGTACAATCCTTGTAATGAGAAAAATTTTCAGATTTGTATAAGATATTTTCAATCAGGAGTATATGTCAGTGGATATTTTATCCAATTTCGTGCGGAATAAATTCATTGATTTTAGTAAAGTATCTACTTTGCTTCTTCAGCAAGATGCAGAGAAACTCGTAACCATAAAGTCAGAACTTTTACGTTCTTTGCCATCCTATCCGGTTGATAACGTGCACAGAAGAAATGTGTTTGTACACAAACACATAAAACACACAAAAATAATATATGGAGCACTTGTGCAAATTATTAAGTTTTCTCACTTCTTTTTCAAGAAATTTTTTTAATCTCTTGCAAAAGTTATTAGTCTTCTCGTACTTTTTTTTTTCAAATCTGCGTGCCAATGTAATGACTTTTGATTACTGAATAAAGATCAATTAAAATTTTCAACATTTTTTCCCCTCAATAGATTTGATAATATAAAATAATAAAGTTTTAGAAGAATTGAAAATACTTGAAATATTCATTCATAATTTAATATCTTTTAGAAATAAAAGATATAATAAACAAAATCAGTATGCCATTGCATATTTATATAATTAATCAATAGATCGAAAAATAAGAAAAATGGAAAGTGAGAAAACTTTCTGTCCAACTCCTTTCCTTTCCTCCATCTTTGAACACATTTTTTTCAGAGAGGGTTAAGCCTGTTTCCTTTCTGTATGCAACACACGTGGCACTCGTTGCATCAACTCGTGCCACGCGTCGAGTGCACCCCTCGACAGATGCACCCCTCCAGATGAACTCGCGAACAGTCGATTTTTCTTCTTTCATTTTAATTTTTAATTCTCGTTTCCTTCCTTTGATTTTACGACACGTCCGATTTTTCCCTTCTCTTTTCCTTCCCTTTCCTTTCTTTTCTTTCTCGTTTCATCCACGCTCATTTCCGCAACCGGATACTGTACTGAATTATGTAAGTTTTTGCAACGACCACGTTCCTTTTTTGTTCTCTTATATTACGTGAGCTTGTTCGTTTGCTAATTGCACCAGTGTTTCTCCTTCCGTTTAATGTTACCGTAGTAAGAGCATTAGGGGGCGCGGTAAGCGAATTTGTCAAGTCGCTGGATTGTTCGTTTGCGAAGAAATTTGAGAAAAATTTTAAAGTATTTTTCCAGTAAATCCTTTGAATTATTTAATTTTTAAAAGTTTTTCAATTTATCACAAATTTATTTTGAATAACAAGTGTATATTGCGTGCATTGTGAGTGATTCCAAATTTTTTCGATCATGTATTACGTTCCAGATCTATCACAATCTATAAACACGGATAAAAACTAAAAGTTTTTGTGAAAATTGATTAACTAGAAATAGATTCACCTTTTATTGAGATTAAAGTGCGAAAAAAGATTGTGTAATTTCTCTTTTAGAAGCGATTATCCTGGAAATATCCAACTTTTCTTTAAACGAATAAAGGAGCTGTTCGAATTAAAAATAATATTGAATATAGAATCCATATGTTTAAAAAATTGAAAGTAAATTTAAACATAGTGTTCCGTGTCAAGATAAAACTAGAAAAACAAAATGTTATGTTATAACAGAAAAATTTCCATTGGATTGTTATTACTTTTATTCCATTTCGCATCATTTCCTTCATCCGTTCCAAGTTTGAAAAAAGGAGGGGAAAAAAAAAAATAATAAAAGGATCGCAGGAAAAAGACATTTGTACGATGTCCAATTCGTGGAGGATGGAATCGCATAATAATGCTCTGATCTGATCGAGTATCGAAATTGACTTAACCTTGCACTGTATCCTCCACCATCCCATTTCCATACACCCTTAACTTATCCCGCATGGACGTGGCCGCACATCTAAACTCACCAGATTTCTAAGCACGTCGTCTGGCACATTTCTGGTGGAATTGCAGAGTGCCCTGGCAGCACTGTGAGAGAAAATCACCGGCGCTCTCGTCGTTTGCAGGGCTGCCCTCATAGTCCTTGTCGAGACATGAGAGAGATCCACTAGCATTCCCAGTCTGTTTAGCTCCCTGACAACTGCCTGGAAAATAATAAAAAATAATATGCCATATTTCCTCCCTCCTCTCCCATCCATTTTAAAACTTCGACCCTTCCCTCCTAGCGAGAAATAGAGATCTCACCCGCAACGTTGTAAAATATTTATAATCTCTTCTCATCCGAAAAAATTAACCCCACTGTTTCGTCGACACCTTTTTCTTTTCTTCAAATTATAAATACTTCTTGAATTATAAATATTACATTAAAAAAAGAAACGAACAAATTATTCCTGATTCTTCGTATTATTAATATAAAAAAAAAAAAAAAATAAAGAGGTCTTTAAATATCGAGGCTGTTGTTAGGGAGAGGGAATCGACAAGGGTTTTAATACGCGAATTCGATCGAATCGCGCGTAATTCCGCGAACACGGTTAGAATGCAAATTTTCGGCCCGTCCACAACCGGCGAAGAGATTACGTGATTTTACAGTTTGCATTACCTTTAGCCGCGGCAACTTTATTCGAGGTACGATTCGAATTTCGCTTCGGCGCAGCCACGTGTCCCTGTTTTGCATTCGCCTCTGCCACCGGTATTATAGAAATTAACAGACATAACGAATTGGCCTGTGCATTCTCCCGTGATGCGTGTACGCGTATATACACGCGGCTCTTTAATTAACACAACGAAACTCGCGGAGCGCAACATTGATCGTAATCTGCTGCGTTGCTACCAATTCTTTTTCCTTTTCTTTTCTTCTTTTTTTTTTTTTTTTTTTTTTTAATCCAACATCCCCTCAACCATTTTCTTCGTTTCCGCGTCTTTTTTTTCTGCTTTATACCATATCTCGGTTAGCGAAACCGAGACTTAACCGAGCCTCTGAATCGTGGACAACTCGTGAAAACGGAAATATAACGTGACTCGCCGTTTCGTCGACGAATGCGCGGTTTTTCGCGTTTTTTTTTCGCGAGGAGAAAAGATCGTTCGAGGAAGTTGGCGACGATTAAAGGGACAGTTTTGGATTAATTGTGGAACAAAATTGCAATTTGGATTATTTAATTTTATTTTTTTTTTTATTAATATTAAAAATTGCGCTACGAAAATTATTCTAAATATTAATTTATAAAACGAGGTGAAAAGGGTTTAGAAGATAATAAGATTGGAATTATTTAAGAACTGGTATATATGGAAATTTTTAGAAATGGAAATTGGATTAGAAAGTTTCATGGAAATTGACTTTGCGATTAAATGAACGTATTAGTTTAGGGGGTTGATTCGTTTGCGAAGGAAAGGGAGCGGTTAGACGGTTCTTCTTTAACGAGATATTTGTCTACAGTTTGCAGTTTGGGTTTAGATAACGTTGATTTTGCGAATTATTTCGATTCGAAGAGATTTATTTAAAGACAAAATTTCATTTTTATAATCTCGAATCAAATAATATACAAAATATTTCAAAATCGGGACAAAATCCGATTCAAAGAATTTTAAATTCCGGATTCGTCCACGTATTCTCGATACGTCTCAAAAATTTTTCCTTCTCCCTAATTACTATACAAATAACATCGATCAATCTGGCACAATTACTCGGGAGGCAATTACACCGAGACGTTGAAAACTCTTACACACACACACATATATATATATACACGTGTGCTTGTGTAGAGACACCGTTAATTCGTCGCGATTCCACAGGGCGTTGATTAAGAAAGATGATCGGGGGACTTGACACGAGGAGAAGGATGGGTCTCGAGGCATTACGCGGCCTCGAAGAATGATCACGGTTGAAGGGTGAGGAATAGGAGAAATCAGAGAGAGCGAGAGAGAGAGAGAGAGAGAGAGAGAGAGAGAGAGGGGGGGGGAGGGGAGAGGGTGACGGTGAAGGGTGAAAAATAGCGGCGAGGACGGAGAAAACGTCGGTATTTCGACCGATGAACATTTGTCGATGGCGTAAGCAAGCCGCCTCTTCTATCGCGAGGAAAATAGAAGGAAAAAGCCTGGGCTGCTGCGGTGCATAGACCGGAGGGCGTCGATACGGGAGAAAGGAAAGGAAGGGGCGCACAATGGGTGCTGCCTTTTTTCCTCTCTCTCTCTCTCTCTTTCTTCTTTTTTCTTCTTTTTTTTTTCTCTCTCTTTTTTTTGTAAGAGCACCCCTGCTTTAATAAGAAGCCAGTGATGTTCGTTTTTCCCCCGGCACGCGCGATTTTGCAGAGACAACGGGGACGAGGTGTTTCCATCGATTTACCACCGCTTTTCCGCACACATTCCCCTCCCAACGAATATGTATTTAAAACCGTACGTACATACAGGAGTTGATTGACGCGGCAAATAAACGAGATTTTTGTCAACCCGTTGGAATAATTCAATTATTCGCAGAAGAAGAATCTTGCGTCTGTTTTCTTTTTTTATTTATATTTGTAAAATATAAATACATTTACTGTAATTTCTTTCCCTACGTTTCACCATAACGTTTCACGCGAGTTTTTATTTCGATATTAAAAAAATTTTACGAAAAAAAAATATTATTTTTATACAATTTTACGAAAGAGCGTTCCATATCTAATCTTTCAGAAATTAATAATATAATAACGCATCTCCAACGCGTTTATCGCGAAAAATTGCGTTCCATTTCGAGAACTACGTCCTCTCGGAACATCCTATAAAGAGACACGTGTGTTTGATCGGGAAAGGCAACAGGAAAAATACCAGCATAGGCGATACGAGTATGTAATCGAAGAACGAGATAGAAAAGGAACAGGAGGGAGGGGGAAAATATTGTAGATATCGCGTACGAGTGCACATGCACATCGAAATCGTTTCTCCAAATATGTATTTGGTCCACCGTGTATGTAGAAGATATAGCTTCGAATTTAAATGAGAAAAATGCATCGGGGCGCGAAACTCTGTGCACGGGGACAAATAAATAGGCGGAGATCGTAGGATTTTCAGCATGTCGATTTCCTTTATTTTTCGGTTCCGGATCATTTTTCAAACCAAACCGTGGAAGTATTCGTTTTCAGCCTTTTTCCCCCCTCCCTTTTTTCCCCTTTTACGCGGAATCGACAAATTGCGGATACTGGCCGATACCGCGATTCCCTGCCTCGCTTCTCTCCACTCAAGTTTTTCTTTCCAGCTTGTTCCTCGATGTATTTCTTTTGTATACGAAAAATAAAAAGTGGCGGCTCGCGACATTTGATCGAAAAAATAAATAGAAGAGTGATAAAGCAATGGCTCGTGAATAATAAACTTATTGAATAATAAACGGAAATTCGAAGTAAATTTTCCCCAAGCGAGATATATTTTTGTATCTGCTTGGAGAGAAACTTGTGACTTTTGATAACAATTTGAACGATATTTTTTTCACGTTACATTTTTCAACACGTCCTTTTATTATTATTAGAATTAATTATAAACTTTTGACTATCTCTTCGACACGCGTATACGAGAATCGAATTTTTCTTTTTGAATTTTCATATCATATAAAGATTCGATACGAAACATTGTGCAAACGAAATAATAGATTACATCTCAACGATTTATTCGACCAAGGTGTTACCCGTTTACGTAACGCGTCTGCACTATTGAGAACCGGTCGAATTCAATATCGCAGAGACAAAACGCGATATTGGGTTAGCATGGAAGAAGGAGAAGAAGGGAAAATCCTTTCGGTGGTGGAACTCGGTTACATCACGAAAATTATTTTTCAACCCCCGTGTATCCCTGTAACGCGGGGTTTCGTGTGCACGGGAAAGGGGGAGAAGGGGAAGAGAGCGAGAGAAAGGGGAGAAACAAGACAAACGGAATAGCTTTGGAATCCTCAGATTAGTGGAATTTTGTAGTAAATCGTCTGGCAGGGTTGGTGTGCCTGCACAATAACGATTTTGTACCGACGTTGTTTCGATATAGTGTGGAGGGAGGGGGAGGTGCGCGCTCGAACAATCGAGCCGTGTCTGGCGATGTGGCTTTCGTGTGTTTGCGCGCGCGAATACACAATTGGAAATTGTGGTGGTCGGGGCGCGATGGTGGTGGTTGTGTATGTGCATGTAAATGAGAGGAGGAGGAGGAACGAGGGATGGGTGGTCGAGGAGGAAAAGAAACGAGAGGAAGGACGAGTATCCGGAAGAAGGGGGAAGATTAGGGGTGGAGGGGGTGGGAGTAGTGGTAGGTGAAAGGGTGGTGGGGGAAGATAGCAGAGATGGCTTATTTGATTTACGTTCTCGTTTGCCTCCCTTGCGTTTCCAACTCTTTTCTTCCCTTTTTCCTCCTTCGTCTCTCCCTCTTTCTCTTCAACAATTTTCCTTTTTTTTCTTTATGATGGAAGAGAGAGAGAGAGAGAGAGAGAGAGAAGGTAAAAATTTTGCAAGATCGATGGAAAAAATTGAGTCCCAGATTTGTGTGTTGGAGATCTGAAATCGAATTCATTCGATATTCATACGGATGCTACACGTCGAAATATGTAAAATATATGCGAGCAATATAGTTACATGGGAATGCGTATGTCGTATATTCACTTTATCGTTTTTTTTTTATTAAGATGTGATCTAAGTTGAAATATTGAAGTACCTTCGTGTTCTTCCACAACGTTGTTTTCATTTTTCACATATAGCGTCGCGATAATTAATTAATTTATAATTATAGTTGCACAAAATTAATTAATTTAACTTAAACGATACAACGTTCTTGCGCAGAGAGCAAAGAGCGACGCGTCCGTTCCGCTCCGTGTCTGGAAAACGACTCCGTTAAATCGATATTTATGTATACGTGTATATATATATATAATTTGTGGATATCAATGACGATCGATGTTGTCATTTCCTGCGTGCCGCGATTCATTACGTTCCACACTGTGGCCGTTATGCAAATTAATTTTCTATCTTGATCTTGACAAAGAAATGTTTATTAAAATATATATAAAAATTCGTTGCAATAAATTTTTTTTATAGAAGATCTTTGAATATAGAATTTAAAATACAATTTAATAAATTCTTTAATTTTTCTACGCAATGAATCTAATAAAAAGAATGCACGTTTTCTCTTTTTAACATAAACGTATGCAAACTTTTTTGAATTTTTTAATAACAAAACAAGAATAAGTTCCCCTCAAAAGTTTCATTACTTTATCTATTTCCATTTCTTTCTTATATATTTCTTTTCTGATTTTTCTTTCTCTCTTTCTCTCTCTGGTCCCGTTTCTTTCCCTTTTATCGATATATTGGGATTCGTGTGCTAGAAATTCGGGTGGAAAATCCTGTTCGATTCCATTTTACCGGTGTGAAAGTTTGCGGTGAGATTCCATTAAAATGGGTCACGCGCTCATAAGTTGGGAGAAGAATGAAGAATCGTGGCATAAATAGAGCGCGCATCGTCATTGATCGCTTTTCATTGATTATTATTTATCACCGTGGGAGTAGCACATTGCATATAAAAATATATCGTTTATCGATTATCGATCGACCGATCGTTCTTCGATATCTTGCCCGTTTATTTTCAACAAACTGCAGAAAATATTCAAGTGAAACATTATAAATGGAATATAAACGGAATGAAAGCTTATTAATCTTATGATATTTCATACGAAATTCTGAAATACGTCCAACATTTTTGTTGATATTATTTTTAATTCATTATGTGTTAATACATTATGTTTAATACATAATGTTTAATACATTAATTATAAATATATCAGTGTATTGTATTAATCCAAGAAATTATTTTAGAGATTCTTATTTTATTTGAACGAAAGAAATCAAATGAAAAATTATTTTCGAAATTAAAAATTTCCATTGAAATAATTTTTAGAACGGACAATTAAATTAAAATAAAATATGAAAAATATTATATTATCTCGTGATAATGTTTGTCAACTCACCTTTCCAAACTCACTGAGGCCCGGCGTCGTATCCTGGGTACTGTTCGTCTCGCCAACTGAACAGACTGCCCTGCCAAGAAAATGTCTGTTAAAACTCTTTTCTCCTCTCGCGAAAAACCGGACGGAAAATTCAATAATTTTTCAATACACACGCCTTCGTTTTTCTTCACTCGGTGAAACACCGATAACATTTTTCACGTGTCGATTTCTCCCTACTGTCTGATCTTTCCTTTGTAATGATAGATCTAGATATCTATAAATTTCGACCTGTTCCTTGATAAATCGAAAAACAGGAACACCAGAGGGAAATTTTAGATAGGAGGTAAACAGTTAATAAATTGAATTTAATAGTGTACTTTGAAATTGTAACGATAATATTTCTTACGAATTTCTTCTGTATCAATCAACGTAATAATAATAATAATAATATCTGAAAGAGGAAGGAAAATTCTCTTTCTAAGAATTATAATTATATCTTATAAAAAATTATAAGATATAATATCTTATAAATCTTATATATCTTATAATATCTTATAAAAAATTATAATTAATTTTAACTTTTACCCTATTTAATTATTATGAATTTTTTAACGATTGAACAAATTATTAAATTATTCCTTAAACTTTTCACTTTGATCTCAATTTAAAACATCTGAAAAAAACCATACAAATTTCTTTTCAACGAAGAGATTTTACTTACTAAACAAAAAATACCGTCAAACACAAATACCACCTTCTCTCAAATTATTAGAATTAAAATAAATTACAGATCGTACACATAATAAATTACACCGTTTTAAAACAGCAATAAATAATTCAAGAATGTCGAGAATCGTTTTAAAAATCGACAATAATAATTTATCATCGCGAATTGAAGAGCGATTCCTGAGCGCAAAGGGGACAATTTGGTAGAAGGGGTAGTATTGCGGAGAGGGTAAAACGGAAGATCGAACCTATAGAAAATTTAATCCGACCCGCGTAATCTTTCTTCTCTCGATTCTCACTTCGATGCTTGTCTCCTTCGTTCTGGAAGGAACGAGTGGGAGAAGGGGGATGTCGAGGACTCCTCGTCATCGAGAACCGCGGAAAATCCAATCGTCTTCACGGTCTCGGGGGACGAAGACAAAAGAAAGGGAGAAAGAGAGAGAGAGAGAGAGAGTGGCGAGGTTCTAAGAATTGATGTTAGGCCAATGGAACACATTCTCCAAAGCGATTCGGCCATTGTCGCGATGAAACGAGTGGTTTGGTGATAACCACGGGGGAGGGGGAGGGATGCAAATGGGTATATCTCTTCCTCTTCCCTTTTTTTCTCTTTTTTTTATTATTCAAGAGAGGTATTATTCGATCGAGGAGAAGAATTGGATGGTGTTCTTTTTTTCTTAATTCAAATAAAATATATAGAATAAAAGAGAAAAATTGAATTATCAATTACCAATATCAAACAAACAACGAAAAATTTTACCCTTCCATTAATTACGTACAATTGAAATTTTTGACCTCGTATAAAAAAAATACCGATACTTTTTTTATTCCCCCTTTATATTTCATTATTTATCCTCTCGCTCCAACACCTTGCACAATTTCTAAACGCAACGATCAACGACTTATCGATCGTCGGCAAAAGAAAGAAAGAAGGAAAGAAAGAAAGAAAGAAAGAAAGAAAGAATCCAATTATCTCCGCGTAAGCCTCGACAAATCCACCTCCACCTCCCCTCGCCGTTGATTCGTCTTCCGAGCAGAGAAACTGAATTCCATTAAACGGAATTCACGTTTCCTCGAGATATCATATCCTTACCTATTCCCTTATCCGTGCATTACGCCGATCCGTTTCGAGGAAAAATAAAATACTCGTGGCGTCGAAAGCGAGAGATTTGCTCGGCAGAGTTTCTTATTTACGCGGCGAGGTGGAGTGGGTGCGTCGAGGGGCGCATAAACTAGGCAAGGATTGAAAGGCTGTGAATCGGGTCGCGAGACTATTGTCGTCCCTCGATACTTTCGCCCCCGAAACCGGTTAGTTACGAGCTTACGAGGATATCGGCCGCGGTGTGTCGTATACGTTTTCGCGTCCGCGAATCGGTGGAGGAAGGGAGAGAGAGAGAGAGAGAGAGAGGGAGGAGGGATGATTCCTCCTCGTGGAAACACCGCGGAGAGTATAAATTCCGGCTCCGTGGAATTATAGTCGACTTAATGGCGGGAAGGACTGCGTCGAGCTATGTGGGTCGTGTTGCGTGTGGATATATTTTATAAGAAGTTGCTGCTGCTCTTTGTTTTCGAGAAGTGTGTTCCTCTCTGTGAAATTGATGCCCGATAGGAAGGGATGGGAAGGGGAGGAGGGGGGATGATATCTGGTGTCCGAAAGGAACTTGTCTTATCTAGCTCGATTTTCGATATTTCTTCTCTGCTCTCCAGTTTCTGTCTATTTTGTCTATAGTGAAATGTATAATTCACTTTAAAGGAGATTATTTTTGTTGGATTTCTTTCTGCCTTTCGTTCGTATTGATTATTTTTATTGGATAGAGGAAGGTTAAATATGTTAATTTAACGAAGTTCCAATTAAAGATGAAATTATAAATCGTACAGTTGGTGCTCTAGAAAGAGAAATTCTGTTCTGAGAAATTCATATTTGTAATTGATATACAATTACTATATAAATAATATAAACGAATAAAATAGTGCAAGAATATTACCATTGTATTTTGAATTCCATTAAATCATTCGTGTTAATTTTATAACAACCTCGAAATATCGAGAATCAAATATCGAAACCTCCTTCCTAGATCCAATCCAAGCAACGAACTGGACCGAATGATGTGGGTCTCAAAGATTCTCCTATCGTCGTACAACCGATTCCTTTTTACGAGAAGAGTTGATCCTTCTCAGAAATCTCTTTCATTCGTGTCTCAATCCGTATTGCACGCAGAAAAAGTTCCCTTCGCTACGGTTTCCTTTTCACTCGCTATATTTCAACGAAAATTCCCCGGCCCAAATCTCCCGGGGATCCCCTCCTTCGCATTTACAGGCTGCAAAGTTTCTTATTATTTTCTCCTTGGGCGGAAACTCGAAATCGGCCGATTCTCGAGGACGTGAATTCTCGATGCAAGTTTTATGCGCCTCACGATACCGTGACCCTTGCAAATGAAACTCTTCCTTCGATTCCGTTCGAATTTTTACACCAACACCATTGTAAGTTTATCAAGGGATTTCGTACAAAATTTGCGATGCAATTTTGAAAAATCGAAATTGAACCACGACACGATTATTGTTTCGCTTGAAATTTGAATTTTTGGAGGATGGAGAGAAACTATAGGATGTACTTTTCGTTTCTTTTCAAGGAAACAAAGTTGTTTGCGGGGATGTGGGTTAAAATTTGCGATACAATTTTGAAAAATCGAAACATCGAAGGGAATCTTCTACACGATTATTGTTTCGCTTGAAATTTGAATTTTTGGAGGATGGAGAGAAACCATAGTGTCGAGGATGAGATAGAAACGGAGTACTTTTCGTTTCCTTTCAAGAAAACAAATTTGCGATACAATTTTGAAAAATCGAAACATCGAAGAGAATCTTCTACACGATTATTGTTTCGCTTGAAATTTGAATTTTTGGAGGATGGAAAGAAACTATAGAATGTACTTTTCGTTTCCTTTCAAGGAAACAAAGTTGTTTGCTCGGTTCATAATGGGAATGTGGGTTAAAATTTGCGATACAATTTTGAAAAATCGAAACATCGAAGGGAATCTTCTACACGATTATTATTTCGCTTGAAATTTGAATTTTTGGAGAATGGAGAGAAACCATAAGATGTATTTTTCGTTTCCTTTCAAGGAAACAAAGTTCTTTTGGTTACGTTTGGTTCGTAAGGGGGATGTGGGTTTCGGCAGGGAAATCTCTGAGACAGTGGAAATTTTCTGTTCCCCGAGATTTCGGTTTGCTCCTCGAGCTCTTTCAACCTGATCGGGCATGGGAACGGGTTTTTCTTTCTTCTTGGACGAAAACGGTTACAAAGCGGTTAGAAAAAGTGGCCGGCAAAAGCTGCGAGACGGTGGAAGTTTCTTCGAATTAATTGAAATGGAAAAGGATCATTTGGCCGAGTCAAATGTTTTTACACGAGACAATGCGAGATTTCGGTGCCGATAACGATGCCATTTTTCTTTCGTACATCCTTTGGTTTTCTTGTTATTTTTATAAGATGTTTAAGGGAATAGTATAAGAAGGAAAGATGTAAAAAATAAAATTAATAGTTTGTAAACTGTAATTTTATAGGATAAATAAAATTTTAGTATTTATTATTATTATTTAATTTTTGATTTAACGATGGTGTTATCAAAAGGAAAGTATCGATTAGATTTTGATAGAGAGAAGAAGGGAAGTCTTTAATAAGATAAATCTATTTCATATTTTCATTGACCATTATAGGAACAAATTTGAACGATGAATATTTAAACTTTACTACATCGCAAGTAACGATAATAATTTTAAGAATAAAACTTTAAAATAAATTTAAGAAATATACAATTTCATCCTACTTGACAAAATTAATTTATGCAAATGAATAAATTATTTAATTCACTCGCTAAAGTGAATCTATCTTTTTTAGAAATTTTGCCGATTTATATTATAGATACTAAAATTAAATTGATCGTTATAATGAGGATATTTCGATATGAAATTGCATTGTATTATAATTTAATTGTTAATTAAATTATTCTGGAATCTCAAATAGATTATCAATTTATCCTGACGGTATTCCGAATATATTTTGATAGTTAATTAATGGACCGATATTATAACAGAGAAAGCAATTAAAAAAAATCTACCATATTAGTCAATTCTATTCACGGAATATTGTAATAAATTTCGATTCCAATTTAGCTTATCCAAACGTCATAATTCGAAACTATAATTGCAGAATATAAAGTAAATGATAAGAACGAACTCGATGAGGATATCTTTCGAATAAATAAAAATCTTGTATCTTATTTTAAATATTAATAATTATTTTTTCGCTCCTTTTTAAATATAATTTAGAATAATCATAAAAAAAAATACTTTTTTTACTTTTATAAGAATAATTATAAATATATTAAAAATTTTATTGAATTGAAGAAATACCAAAAAAAAAAAAAAAGAAAAAAGAAATAAATTATAAAAAAATGTAACGTACCATAAAATTTGTTCATTTTCTTACATTATTTTTAATTTTCCATAAAATTTTAGATATATCCATAGATATATTTTAATTTCTCTTTTTTTAATATGTGTGTTGGCTGTCAGTTTGTCAAAATAAAAAATTTTTCGCAAAATATTCACCCTTGTTCACACGTGGTAGTTATATTCCCGTATAATAAAGAATTATAACGAAATCATTGTGCTCCATTTTTATCTAAACAATATTTACAACCGTGTAAATATATATATATATTTTTGGATATTTCAAAAGTGGTATGGAATGTACTCACCAGGAAGTGTCGCAAGCATGCGTCAGGGTAAGGTATCTCGCGCCCAGGCCGTAAAATGTCCTGAGAACACCCAAGGAATTTCCAAGGGAGTGACCACCTTCCACCCCTATAAGACTTGCGATTTTCCCTTCTCGATGAGCCTCGATGAGACCTACGCATACGAAAAAAATATCACTCTTCGCGTTTTTCACTTATTCTCTATTTTTACTTTTTTATTCGTTGCTTCTCTCATCGCGAAATATAAAGAATATTTAGAAAACTCCGTTCCTTCCAAGACGATGATTCATTTTCAAGAAAGAAAATCTTTTAAAAAAGAAGACAAAGAGATCGAGTTTCTTTCCTAATTCGATTTCTCCAGGGAAGGAATTTCTTTGCGAATGCGTTACTTTTAGCCGCGTCTTTTACTTTTACGCGATGGTTTGACTTCTTCCGTTGTATTTTTTTTGAACCTCAACTCGTAGGAATTTGACCCAAAGTCTAATCTAATCCTTTTAATCCACGAGAAAAGTAATCAGAAACGAATGGAAAAACTCTTTTAAAAAATTACTCTATAAATAATCCAAGCAAAATTTCCTAAATGTCATTCCTTTTCCCCAATATTTACAATAAGAGCGTCCAAGTGAAATCGCGAAAAGAATCTTATATTTTCCTCCATTCGTTCCAAAGCCAATTCAAAGTAAGGTATTCCTGATCAGTATGCAGGTTGATGCAGATGGCGGCACAGGCAAGCGTTCCAAGATCTTAGACCACCGATCACCTCGCCACGAATCACACCTCCCTTTTCCATCCCTTTCCCTCGACCTCGTTTCGCCCTCCCACTTGGCCCAACTTTCTCAAGCTTATGAAAATGGCCGACAGTTTTCTGGAGCGGGGTTACTCGTCGCGAGAAGTTTTTACAACAAGGCGCGCTCCTCTCATTTTTTCTGCGACGGCGCATGCATAACGCGATCTTTGCTTTACGTTTGCCGCGGCGTGAGCACGCAATGGAATTCGTGCCCAACGAAATTTCCTCAGTTGTCGACGTTTATCCATTTGTAATGAATATGGGGAGGAAAATGCCGTTTCTCGAACGTGCAGTCATTTCCCTATCCCGTATTGGGATAAATGGAGTAAGAGTATTTAGAGAAATAGTGTTTGCGAAATTGAGTGAGATAGATTTCTGGTGTTTTGTAGATTTTTTTGAATTTGTACAATGATTCATAATATTCCTTTGCTCTTCTATATTTGTATTCATTTCTGAAATGGGAAGAAATAATGGAAATGATAATTATTCTTGAGACAAGTTGTGCCTTGGAAGTTTGTCTCTTTAATTCAATTACATTATAATTCAAGAATATTTTCTTTAATTTGTTGAAACTTCAAATTTTCGATTAAGGAAAATAATGTGATACTTTTTAAATAGAGCATTTATGGAAAATTTAAAATAAAAATATGCAAAAAGTATTACATTTTACACCTTTAATCCTATATTTATTTATTTATTTATTTTTTTCGTTTCCACACACCTTAGAAAATGAATAGTATCTCGCACAAATGTGTTTTAATTAAAGCCGTTTAACAATGTGGACTTGGTCAATTACACGGGAAATCAATAATACATTTACAAGTAACCATACACGAATACATATGTATCAATGTCAATAACAAATTGACACTTGTAATTTAGTTAGAAACTTCAACACAAGAGCGGGGCAGAAACGTCCGTTTCCATTCTATTCGGAAGTTCAAATACAAAGTTCAAGATGTAAGTAGGTTATAAACTTCAAATACAAATGTGCGAAATTCCAAGAATCCGCCATTACCTTAAAATGACGCGTAACAATTTCGAATAATACTATTATACTGACCCGTTCATCGAAGCTTGGATTTTCGTTGTTAAATTTTATTCGACTTTGTTCCCCCCTCTTGAGGAGTAAGAAATAGGGATGAAAAATTTAAGAGGAATATTGGGGCAGTTTTCTGCCGGAGGAAAGTCTTGATCGTGGAAACTTCTTTTTTGAAAGAACATTATATGCCAATTGTAGCATTCATCTAAGTATAACATTAAAACGAATTTTCGTTTCTTAAGACGCTTTGACTTTAAATTTTTATGCTTCGAATATTAATCAGTTAAAAATTAATTTTTAACTTTTCATTGAAAGATTCGCCAAATCGTGATTATTAATATTTATTATGGATTTATATTTATAGAATTTTAATTTTGAAAAAAATTACTGAAGGCGAGGGTTAATTTGTGATCTCGAAATTATTTTTTAATTATCCTTCATCAGGTGTATTATTATGTTCAATTTTTTTCAGAATGAGAAAGAATTACTTTAATCTTCTTCTTTAATCTAAATTAACAACACGTTTTTAAAAAACTATTTGGATCTTTGATTATTTAGCTCGTATAATAATAATTGGAAACCTGCGAAATTAATATTTATTAATTGTAATTTAAAGAATATTTTTAACTAATGTAGCAGAATTTCAATAATAATAATAATTTTCACGCACATCGGTGATACATCCGTTGGAAAACATTATTCCACCTACTTCCACCTACCTCCTCTTCTAAAGCAATTCCATTAAAAATACAAAATCCCTCGTGACGCAAGCAGGAAATTCCCTTCTTTATCCAGCATTGTTCAGTCAAACAATACTCGAGTTCCTCGTTTCTTTCAAGAAATACAAAATGATTCTTTCGCCAAAGAAAGTTTGGAAATTTACCGGGGGAAGGGGGGAGGGGCTGAAAACAAAAAAGCAAAGAGTCTATAACCTGCGAGGAAACTTGTAAAAGTTTGGGCGACAAGTAACCCCCCCCTCTCTTCTCTCCCTTTTCCTCCCCCGTTGGAAAGCTGTCAGCCATTTTCATAAGCCGAAGAAACTCTCGCCAACCGAATCGAGGTCGGAAAAAGGAACTTTTCACTTGTCTTTTCGGGCCTCTACGCGCGTTTTCCTTTCGTATTCGTCCATTCTTGAAGTCGAGACCGATGCGAGAACGGAAATATGGGGAATTAAATAAAACTTGGTCGAATAATGTTTTTGAATAAGGATTTTGATGGAATTGGAATTTTAACCGGATAGATTGATGCAATCGTGGGGAGCATCGTGGATATAATTTTCTTGACAGCCAGTTGTTACTATTCAAATTGGTATCCGTTTGATGGAACGTGTCAGAATCGGTTTCTTGCGACGTATGAAATTGAATATGAAATTGAAATTATGAATATCAATGAATTTGATAAAAATTTTATTTTGCTATTTTTTTGCGTTGTTTTCTAAATACGAGGAGGATCATTAAATAAAAGAATTCAGACTGAAAAGAATAAGTTCATCTTTTTTCCTAATTTCTTTGATTGATATTTTTATTGATTAATTGTTAACTTTGTTAATTGTTAATTGTTATCAAAGAGCAATAATATTTTTTTTCATTTTATCATCTCAAATAAAAGAAAAATTTGTGATGCTCAATCAAGGCCACAAATGTCAGCATAGCTTTGTATGAACGATGAGATATAATAATAGAGAGAGATATAATCTTAAGCCAAAATTCCAAATTTCTTGGCAAGAAGACTCGAACATCTCGAGTCCTCTTATTTCCTCTTATTACTCGTATTCTTTTAAAATAGATTTCGAATTTTGAATCGCTCTACATATTTGATTCATTTTATTATCGAAGGAAATAACGTTAAAATTTTGCAGGAAGGTAAATTTTTATTGATTATCAAGTAACCGCCGATAAGCAAACATTTTTCCCAACTGTCGGTAAAGCTACGAATCATGAAACGGTGTCACAAAGTTGGAACCAATAATTACTTTTCTCTTGAATGATACTTGCTCGAGCAATTAATACCAGATCTCCTTTGTCCCCTCGAGTTTCCTCGAGAGCAAACTTTCTGCCTAGTTTCTGTCGTTTCTGTTGCATCCATTGTTATTCACAGTTGGTACACCGTTTCTAAGCGATCTAATTATCAATGGGACAAGTAGCAATGTCTCAAACTTGAAAATTCCTCACTATCGATTGTTATTACGATCGAAATTATTATTCCTCGAAATTATTAATTTACATCATCAAACGATCGTAATTGCATCTTTGTCTACCATGATTTTTACTTTTTCAATTATCAAGAAACTTTAAATCGATAAAAAGCAATAAAAACGATCAAATGCACAAATAGAAAAATAAATAAATATACGTATCTTAATAGTTAATAGCCAGTAGTGGCGCTAGTATCCTTTTCTTTTAAAATCTAAAATTTCTTCGTTCTTCCTAAATTTCTTAACATTATTCAGAGTATACATCCTCCATAAACGCGTAATCAATGATTAAAGGAACAATGTTTCGAAGTTTCCACATCTCGCGATGCAGTTTCCACTTTTGTGAAACAGAGAATTATAAATCTTTCGAAATCCGTGATAATGCATTGTACGTTCACGGAAACGTAAGTCTCGATTCTTTTTCTGTATCTTAGCGCTATGAAGCTGCATCTTTTATGTCTACAGCAACCTTAGGGAATCATGGTTGATAAATATTGTCTGAACCATTACGTACACCTTGATCTTTCCGTGTTACAATTTTCCTCGAGACTATCTCGTTCCTAGAAAATTTCAGTTACACTTTATATATACACTTTATACACTTTATCTTCCCACCATACTTTTTACGTGGATGGAATCGAACGTATCTTAAATCTCTTAGGGTTTCACATTCGCGAAACGAAAATCTCACCGGATTCTCAATCTTTAAAATATAATTTTAAAGTGTAGTAAATAGTCGTGCAACATATTTATATTCCTTTTTTTTTTTTTATAATTCTTTAATTAAATTTAAAACGAATAGATTATCTTTGCAAGACAATTTTGTTTTTTTTTTTAATTTCTTTTAAAAAAGAAGATCCTGAAAACAATTGTTTAATTAGAAATTATCTTTTGCATATTTACATCCATTAATTCTTTGTACTTTTTATTTTATTCAAAAAATTCAATTTCTTTCCTATAATAAATTTTTTGCAATTTATGGACTTTACAAATACACAGACGTGTACCAATAAATTAAAACTAATTCACTATACATTTTGAACAGAGAGAGAGAGAGAGAGAGAAAGAGAGAGAGAAATTAATAAAATAACGTAAACGATTTTATTAATTCACATTTTAAATCGATGGACGAGAAATTGAATCGAAAAATTGTTTCATGATCGAACAAAAAAAAAAAAACAAAAAAGAGGAGGGGAAAAAAAAAAAGAAACAAACCATGCACGGTTAAAACCAATAAAATTCAACTTTGATTCGAAACCACGCACTTTCCACAATGCAGATTTTCCAGAGCGAAATGGTTTGCAATTAAAAACCGTATCGTTGGATCGAAAGTTCGAAACGCTCACCTTTTACGGAGGTAACCAAAGTTAAATGTTGAGCATTCATCTCGGCGAGGCGGCGGATCACGTCGATCTGTTCCAAGGAAAGTTGAACAGCGTTCAACTGTGCCGCACCGCATGGAACGTAGGCGGACCAAAACTGGAAAAAAGAAAAAAAAACAAGCGGAGCAATGGTTAGAAATGGCCTCTAACGATTTTATTCCCCCGCGAGGGGGCCGTTTTTGGTTTTAAATAAATTTCGTTTTATGGTAAAAATTGTATGAAAAAAAAAAAAAAACAAAATATTGATACAATTAATTGGATCTTTCGTACATAAGCCGATTCTTTTAATCGGTAAATCTTTGAATCTTTGATTACAGTTGCTCGTTAAAATCAAGTTAATATCGAGTTTATTTATTGGGAGAGAAGGATTGTTGATTTTGAAATTATATATAAATAATTCATTTAAATAGACTTATTAAGGATATTTTACAAATATATATTTACGTAAGAAATATTCGTATCCTGGATATTATCATTTTCAAGCGTTGTTAAACCTCGGAATCTTTCTTTCACGTTAAATTACAAAATTACAAAATTAGATTCGAGCGATTATCTTCGAGTGTAATCGATGCACGCTTATCTTTGCGCCTCGATAATCATACGTTCCGCTCAAACAAAATAGATGCTCTTTTACGCTTCGCTTAATTTAACCGCGAACTGTATCAAGAAGATTATTATCGTATCGTAATGCAATCGTTACACGGTTATATTAATTAATTCTGGTTGCGAAAGAATTTTTTTTTTTTTTCAAATAAAATCACAATGATATCCGATGATAAATATTTTTATAAATAATTTAGAGAAGAAATATTTCTTCTTCCAATATTTGTTCGTGATGAACAAACTCGATGAACTCGAAGATAAAATGAAAACGGGGACGATTTATCAATATTCATCGCAGCATTTAAGCGCTTTCATTATTATCGCGTGATGCTAATTAACCACCGATTGTAGCGCCGGTAATACGTTCGTAATCATAACACTTGAGAACACTTAGCAATGGACGAGATAGACCAGTTAATTAACGTCTCTCGCTGTGCGAATTACACTCACGCGAACCGCTCTCCCCTTTATTTTGAAAATAATAATTATTCACGGATAGTTGATCAGCTTGATGATAATTCATTCGTTCATTCAATCGAAAATGTATGATTAGAACTTATATAAAGAAAAATATAACTCGTCATTTAAATCTAAATTGACATTACTTCTTTAAAATTTTAACAGAAAATTTATTTGTTTGTCGAATGATAGAATATTTCTCGTTCCAAATATAAACCTAAATTGAAATTCCTTCTCTAAAATTTTATCTAACAGAAAATTTATTTATTTGTCGAATGATAGAATATTTCTCGTTCCAAATATAACTCGTCGTTTAAATCTAAATTGACATTCCTTCTCTAAAATTTTACCTAACAGAAAATTTATTTATTTGTCGAATGATAAAATATTTCTCGTTCCAAATATAACTTAAACCTAAATCATTGATATTCATTTCCTAAAATTCCACCTGACAGAAAATTTATTTCTTTGTCAAATAATAGCATATTTCTTGTTCGAAAATTATGAAAGAAGAAATCGAGACTTGGAATAATGTTAAAACGCAACAGGAGTTATCGTTTCCAAGATGTTATCAACCGTGCTTAGCCGGTGCACGGTTGTGACGAATAGAAAGTTGTCCAGGGGCGATTTTCGAGGGGTTTGGAAGAGACGGTCATGGCCTGGTGAGCCGGCCATTTCACCAGCCTTCCTCCCCTTTGAGAAGGGAACGTTACCAATTACTCGGCGGTCTGATTACCGTCGAGTTTCTCTGCCAGTGTAAATATTGAATTTACCCCTCCCCTAACCCGATTGGCATCCTTAATTCTCACGAGGAGGCTGTCGTGACGTCAACCTTATCATACTAATCGCGATACGTTGAAATTTCCACGAGCCACCCTTTCGGACAAAGGAGAATGACGAACTCTTTTGGATTCTTTGAATCTTATTTCGAACGATTCGTATTTCGATTCAGTCAAGCAAAAATTTGACTCGATTTGGTAAAAGTGGGAGGTGAAAGGAATTGGAAAATTTTTTTGAAAATAATAAAAGATGGTTATTGATAATCATGGATTCACGTTCACGAAGATAGACTGTGAAGAAATTTCATCTTTCTTAAGTCACACGCTTTGTAATATATACGAGTAAAAATGATTAACAACAAAAGAGAGATGATACGGGATGCTTTTTAAAAAGCATCGAATTTGAAACGATTGCCAACTATGAATAATATCGTAAAAGCAAAAGAATAAAATTACTTTCAAAAATGCTCGTTTAACGCGGAAACATTATTTTCTCCATTTAACGTAAATCGATCGCAATTATAACGTTAATGCAGTTTTAACGCGATACGATTTAAACGTAGCCAAAGTTGGGTGTAATAAATGGGGGATTCGGATAATGGAGGGATGGAAACAGCAAATAACACGAAGATTCGTTCAAGCTTATAACCTGTGTACATCTCTGTAATTTAAATCGACCTTAGCCAACTTATATCTGCTCGATTTTAACGAGAAGGGAAACTTTTTATCTCGAGTTTTATCGCGAGTTTTATTATTAATTACCCTCTCTCGAATTTCTTTTCCTTTTTTGGGAGGGGGCCCTCGATTCGGGAAACCAAAGGAAAATGGTTTCTTCGACTCTTTCTCTCTCTCTCTCTCTCTCCCCCCTCCCTCCCCTCGAAAAATGGATTAAACACGACGCGAGACTCGACGTTTCACGGTTGGCTTTTTACACCCTCCCTTCCCCCTCCCCCGCATCAGAGAAAATAATTGAGTTGTTGCCGCGTTGCCTGAAACTTTCACGGTAAATTGGGTATTTTCCCAACTATAAAATGACAGGATCCCAGGCTAAAAGGCGTTGGATATTCCGGGAACGATGTACACACACGGTCGAAAATGAAAAATTTCGTTTCGGAATTTTCCCCTCCCCCGAGCGAAACCAAGATTTTTATCCTCCCCCCGTAAATTTTTCACGGGATTTTGATTCGTATCGATCGATAAAATCGATCAACTTATCAATCCAGAAACGTAATATCCCTCTTTCGATTAATCACTTTCGAATCATTGAACAATTGTAACAAATAATTCCCTCTCCCCGTTATATTCCTCTCTCTCACAAATATAAAAAAAAAAAAAAAAAAAAAATAGAAGCAAGATCGTCCAATCCGACGCATCCGATTTAACCGATCGAGTTAACGTCCCAACCCGAGCTCTAGGTTGACGGCTCTATCTTCCCTGTGACACCCGGTACAGTTAAGTAGCGGCGCACGCTGAACGCGCGTACACGGGACAGTGGAAATGGCGGTTAATAAGCGGACAGGAGATAAACCCGTCCGACTGGAAAGAGACGTGCGTTCTTCCAGAAGAGAGGCAGATAATACCGACCGAGTTCGGCTCGCGTATTTTATTCAAAACACGAAACCATCGTGGGAGATGCGCTTTCCGTGATAAAAAAAAAGAGGAGGGGAAGGAAGGAGGGATGCACGGAGGGATTGAAAAAAAAAAGGAGAGAGAGAGAGAGAGAACAAAGAAGAGAATACGATCAAACTGGAGTTTTTCGAAGAAAAATATTCGATCCTAGAGCTCGTGCTAACAATTCTTTCTAACGTGGAGCGAAGAATAGGAAAAGAGAGACGAGCCCCTCTTCGTTCCGTCCGAGTTGAACAATTTTTGCTCGTGGCCAAAAAGAAAGGCGGTGGGGGGGCAATTAAAATTCTTCTCGATTTTCATCGCGCGGTCCACGCGAGTTTTCACCACATTTGAGTCGAGGAAAGCAATTTCAACCGTCATAGTCATGGAAAGGAGGGATGAGGGAGGGGGGGAATCTTGTTGATTCAATTACCTCCCCCTCCGGCTCGAAAGTTTTCTCCTTGGCCGTGTTAATTAAACGCGAGCGAGTCACGTGAACACGCGACGATTCTTTCTTCCTTTTTCTGTAGGATCGGATCGCGTTTTTCTTCTCCTGTAAAAATTGGTATCGTGTAAAAGTGAAATTTTTCATTTGTAATTGTGTTTATCATATTAATTGTGTGATGATCGTCCATGAATCGATTTTATTACGACGATTATTGTTCGATGCGAAATAAATATATACACCTGAAAGTAAAAAAAAAAATGTGAGAATTAATCTTAACATTTAGAAACTTTCTAAATTAAATCTGAAAGGGGTTCATAATAATAATTCGATTCAAAGAATGCTTCAAATCTAAAAATTTGAAACAATTTCGAGGTAAAGTTTTCAGCCGAATTTTCGCTGAACAAAAGAAGAAAAAAAAAAAAAAAGAAAAAAGAAAAGGAAAAAAAAAATTCCACAAAAGGATTAATATTCTTAAGGAGGCCTCTTAACCCGATCTCATTTCTCGGCCAGCGATAACCAACAGAACGAAAAGTTCCTTTGATAACGATACCGAGACTGTAATAATGGCGGTTATTTACGCCATAACGAAATCTTTTATATAAGACGACGCGCACACTTCTCGAAAAGACACGTTTACACGACGATCCCTTTCTTTATACGTATATTTCTTACTTTGCCTCCTTCCCCTGCCTTCTTCTTTCTTCATCCCCCTCTCTCATCATCAACAATCTCACCGAGAAAATGACTCTCTTGCTTCCTCTTGATTCGAGGTTTTACACAGGTAACTCGGCCGTGAAATAATGCAATATGATTCGAGGAGATGTGGTAATGGACAATGATCGATTATCGTCGAAGGTTTCATGGTTAAATTTACAATCTTTATCGCAATAATCGTTAAATAAATTAATAGATGATTAAAAATAACTTGAACATCTTTATATATTGATTCTAACTTTATAATAAAATATTTATTATTATGAGAAAATAGAAAATTGTGTATTTTAATAAAAACAAGAATAAGCTATTGATGATAGATGAAATATCTTGAGATTCGAATGTAAAAAGTCTTTGATTATTTTGACCGATCTCGACGACGATCTTCTTTATCTTTATCTCGCTTTTTTGTCTTTTCTTTTTTTTTTTTTGAGAGGGGAGAGGAAATCGATATTAGAACGGAGAATTCGACTTCTGTTTTCGTAG